GGGGGGGGGGTAGTGGAGGGGGGGGTTCTATGGCTGACGACAAGCGACAATCTTTTATTGGTGTGTGTTAGTTGCGATGCCAACAAAAAAAGTCACAGCATTCACGAGGTCATCAACAATTGGATGCCGTCGTGCGTGCCGTGCCTGTTGTACTTGGCATCGCAACCCTAAAGAAAGCAAAGCAATGCCGAGTGAACTACATGATCGAACTGCGTTCGTTCTTGTGCGAGCTACATTGTAAGTGCCGTATGTTCAGGAAACAGAATAAACGATCTCGACCTCGCAGGGTTAGCAGCGTTCTACCGCCCGTGTACGGTATGTGGGAGGAATAGCGTAAATAAACGATGCGCTCGTCGCGATAACTTTTCTCGTGTTGCGATGCACTCGAACATGGTGGTAACATCATGCTAATTTTCATTGGATACGTTTTTTTTGTTCACGATATGGGTTGGATCGTCCAAGATTTTTGCCGGACGGTGCAGTTGATATTGATTGGTTGTTGGATCCCTGCTAGCATTGCTATCGAAAGTCATGGGGGGAAGATGATGCTGATGCCATGATCCTCGCCGCAGTAAAATCAGAGCTCTAGCGGACTTTAGAGTTTGGTTGTTCATGTTGTTCCCGTTTGTCGGGTTTTACCTGCGGATAATGAGGGGACATTCACAGTTACTAGACTAGTCTAGTTCTTGTTTGTGCGTTTCTGCGTTCTATCGCTCGATGATGTTGGCATACATTTTGTACTTCGAAGTACATTTGTGCTTGCGCTGGAGACGAAGTATTGGATGGTTTTGATTTTTTGTTTGGTTGGGGAGATGTTGCTGCAGCGGGGGTGTTGTTAAGACATCCGATCCATGTCGTGTCGACATTTGAGAAATGGCATAATCGGTGAAAGCTTCATCTGGCATTTCAGGCGCCGGGTTATTTACTTTTGTTTGTTTGGCGTACCTGGGAGAAAAGTCGATATTTGCTTGTCGGAAAGATGTATTTGAGGAAGGATTTGGTATATTTTGGTAAGATATACTCGGGAGTATATAGCCGAGGTCTGCATCCTTCCGAATCTTACCGGAAATTGGTCAATGAGTTGAAACATGGTTTTGTGTAAGGATTTTGTTGTGAGCAGTACGCATGCTTGACACGTGTTCCCGGAGTCATCCGTCCCAATCTGACGCGACTATCATGAAATGTTGATCTTTGTTGAATATTTTTCCAAGGACAATTCGTTGTTTGTGACTGCTCGAGAATTTGTTGTGACGAAATTTTCTCAACAGGGTTGACATTTAGTTACAATCCTTAGTGAAGTTCCATGCTGGATCAAGGAAGACTATTCTGATATTTGAATACTCGGTAGATCACGGAGTAGAGATGATTGTCGAAGTTGTTCGTGGATGTGAATGATGGATGGTTTGGGGGTTTGGACTTTGGACTTTGTGCCGTTTTATATACCGGGCGATCGATGTGTACGGCGGGTTTCTTTCGTAGATCGTGTCTCGTGCGGAAAGTTTGGGGTTCATAAGGCAGAATACAGATCTCCGAGATCTCCGGGGGTAACATGGATCTTGTGGGTGTGATGGACTTGACGTGCGAGTCTCCGCTTGGCCTCGCCCCCGTCTCTCGCTCGTTCAATTCTCTTGTAAAGGAACTTGAGTCATAATCCTTTCTATGCAAGAATCCTCTCGACAAGAGCCCGCGAGCGTGATAAACGAAGTACACGTGACAACACACCAACAACATGAGGGCAACACCAATTATAGAGTACATATTGTGCGCACGTGAGGCAAATTCTTTTCGCTGCGGTACCCTGTGTTCCTTGTGAGTACATTTTGCACCTTGCCAGAACGAGTTTTCACGATTGATGCGCGAAGCGAATCCATCCCTCCCTCCGATAGGTGTGGCTTGGTCGCGTGCAACAAGGATGGCGGCACTATTCTGTGGCATCATTGGGAAAACGAGTGACTGTGAAGTGCTATCAGTGCGTGCAGTGAACGTGACTGGAAGCACCTGATGATGCTCAAGGCATCGCATCCAAGGCATCACGCGGCCGTAAAAAGCTCGCCTGTGTAAAGGGGGTATGTGTGGTGCGATTGCTCTGGGTTTTCGCCCGAGCTTACAGCACCAATGTTCTCAAAGAATAAACGTTATCTCCCCCTGGCCAACGAAGTATAGAAACCAGGATTGACGAGGGTATCATTGTAGATGTGCCTAATTAAGGGACATTTTGGTTGAGTTCCAAATTGGCAATCCTCATCAAACCCGTGTCAACCCATTTGTTGTGTTGCCATGACCCCATCGATCATGCAAGCGTACATTTGTGCCAATTGGCAAAATATTGCACGACGGAAGCATTCGCTCCTAGACGAAGAACGATCTGTCATTTTCCCTCATGTTGGCAGTCATCTCTGTCCTCCAACTGGGGTTTCGGGTGCGACTAAAAAAAACGACTACGAAGGGAAGCAGGGCTTTCGACTCGACGAGAGGTTGACATGTCACACGAACAAAATCGAAAGCAATTGGGGGTCCTTCAAGACCCAATTCCGTGAGCTACTGTGCTGAAACCACCAATAGAGCTACGTCAACCCCCGTCCTAACCAGTTAAGCCACGCACCACTCGACGTTGTTGCACAAAAGTCTACGAGCTTTCTACCAGATAGGTGGTTCAGGACGTTCAGCGCAAGCGCCGTCCCATCGCCATCGTCAGCCCGCAGCGAAACCATATCAAAAGGTGCGCTTTTGAAGAACCGGGGCGCCTACTCTTCTCGCAATCAATTCGAGGAAAGCTCGTACGTCTGCATACAACATGTCCGAATGATGCGCTTATCCTTCCGCAACATAAAAACCTGTAAAACAGAAAAAAAGTGGCCGCCTAATAAAACCTGACTGCCTATCTGACAAACGCCAACACAAAGCTTTCAGTGAAAAAGGCCGGGACTGCTCATCATTGCGCCTCTTCCCGGCTGGAGAGTGGTTTCTTCGGCCAAGTTTCTCGCCTGAACGAGGACATTGAAGACATGGGGAAGCAGGAAAGGTAGCAGCGGGGGGTGGGGTGGGGTGGGGTGGGGTGTACTCATAGTCGTGCATGCCGTAGTCGTTAGACCATTGACCTCGCATCCCTACAAAGCCGGGACGGAGCACAACGGGTTCTCACCGGACCAGGCTCTCACATCACCAAGCGCGAAGCGCCGTGAGATGTTCGGCGAGTCGCATGAAGGGTGCGCTGCATCCTGCTAAGGGTGTTCGGCATCTTGTGCTTACTTCCTTGCGTACGGA